GCATGATGCTGCTGTTCCTTGAGTACCACCCTGCCCCTCCGTTTCCCTCAGCTCCGTGTCCTCCTGGTCCAGTTCCCGCTCCAAAGCACTTACTTTCAACGCCTCCAGGCGCAACAGGAGATCTCTTGCAAATCCAAGTCATTCAAACGCATGCCATCGTGTGCCGCTGTCTGTTCAGCACCGCCTGCGCCTTCGCTTCCTCCAACTCCCGCTCCAAATCAGTTGTCCTTATGAAGGACGCCTCCTAGCACGATGAAAGGTCTATGATTAATCAAACTTGTTCATAGAGATACTGTTTATCCAAAAATGCCCCCGCCTCCTTCTCCTTCAGCCGCTTTTCCTTCTCCTTCACGGAAGCCTCCGAGCATGACGGTCTATGTTCATGTGGAAAGTAATCTTTTTGCGCGGCCACTGCTGTCCATTCAGAAAGGTATCCTGCGCCTCTGGCGGCTGCATCCCCTTCAATCCCCGCTTTTGCAGCTGTACCCCCGCATTTTTTGGAGGCCATCCAAGCTTGCCGTAATAAAGGAGCATCTTGTCGTTGGCAGATCATTTTGTTTTGCAGACGGTGTGGGGGAGGGGGGGGGTGCGCCCTCCCCCAACCCTCCCGCCTTTTTAAAGCCATCCATGCTTGATATTGTTCATCGTGTGTCATCACTTCCATGATTTTCCAACATGTTTCATCATTTTTGATCAATTTCACAGTTTCTCATCATCTTCATCACAGCATGTTTCATGATCCTTTCATGATCTTCCATGATCTTTCAGCAATTTCCATGACTGTTCATCATTTTAATCCGGTTTCACCAGTGCCATAATGTTTCATCGTTCCATCAGTTTTCACTAATTTTTGTGATTATCATCCTACTCTATCATGTCTCATCACATTCATGAACTTCCATCTTCTCCATCATCTCATCACTTTCCATGATTTTCATGACTTTTTCACCTTTCATCACTTTCAGAATTTTCACCATTTTGAATCCAATTTCATCCATTTTTATCATTTTCATAATTTTCAAGAGTTGTTCGCACATTTTGCTTCAGAATCGTGCTCTCGTGAGGCATCCTTCGGTTCCAGGCCCAACCACTCCAAAAACAAGACACAAAAAATACAACAACACCACCAACACAACCACAACAACAACAACAACAACAACAACCACAACCCCAACCCGTCACCCAAAAAAAGTCGCCGGTACTGGATGGACAGCAGCATTCAAAAACTGCTTCAGGGGCGGAGTTGAAGGAACAGCGGCATGGGTATGAAAGATTGTCAGTTCTGCCATCTTCTAGTGTGCTTGCAGGCGTCCTTGAAAGCCACCAACCTGGACATGGAGACAAAGCTGAAGGGCAGCGGCAAGAAGCTGGCAGAAGCTTTATCTGCGCTGCAGATCTCCCCATTTGCAAACAAAATAATCCGCACCACTTTCCCTTACTGCAAACCTGGTGATGATATGATGCTTCTTGTATCGCAAGCATGGATGACCTCAAAAACAAAGGGGTGGGCTGGAGGGGGTGCAGCCCCCCTATTTACAAACTACATGATCTGCACAACTTTACCTTGATGCAAACATGGTGATGACATGATGTTTATGTTTTGTCACAAGGATGGACGGCTGAACAAAACGGGGGACGGCCGCCCATTTGCAAATCATGGACGGCATGAAAGAAGCGAACGCTTCAGATGCTGTAAGTTACTGGACATTCTGGTCTTGATTCGTTTCGGATTCTGCACATTATGGAAAAGGAACACAACAGTCACAAAAAAAAGAGAGCAAAAACAAGGCACTCCATTCAGTACGCCCAGCGCCTCTGCTTCCCCCAACTCCCGCTCCAGATCACTTGTCCTCCTGACGAAAGCCTCCTGGCAAGATGAAAGGTTTCTTGCTAATCAACGTTGCTCAGAGATCAGAGAGACGCCACTGTCGGTTCAAGAACGTACGTGCCTCCTTCTCCTTGATATGAGCGTCTTTTTCCTTCCCAGAAGCCTCCGAACATGACACAAGATGTCTACCCGTATGCATCCTAGTTTCCGTGTGCGCCCACCGCTGTCCAGTTATTAAAGAGATATCCTGTGCCTCCAGCATCTGCAGCGCACTTAGAGCTTCCATGAACTTGCTCACGCTGTCTGTGAGCTTGGCCTCCAGCTCCGCATTAGTTGCCTGCCAGTACTCCTGCAACATGGGCAGCAGATCTCTTTCAAAAATAGTTCAATACCACCCACGCCTCCATTTTCTGTTGCTCGCTCTCCTTGTCCTGCAGTTTTGACTCCAGCTCGACTTTGCTGGCCTGCAACAGAGCCTGCAAGGGAGACTAGGCATCTCTTACAAGTCGGGGTCCGTTCAGCGCCGCTCGCGCCTCTGCTTTCTGCTGCGCAGCTACAGCTTTTTTCCTCTTGCTCTCCTGCTTTTTCAGCTTCACCTCCTTTTTGCTAAGCCTGCAGGTTCTGTTGAAGATTCCGGATGCTCTACATATTTCCCTTGTGTAAGTATCATTTAGTATTCCAGCTCGTCCTTGACTGCTGCAGCAGGCATCGCCGCGTTTTTGACGAACATCACTATGTTGACAGGTATCGGTATCGCAGCCATTGCGAGCCTCTCGTGGAGGTGTGACTTTTCGTTTTTGAGTTTCTCAACGACCTCGAGAACCTGACAGCAGCAATCTGCACAAGTTCCAAGCTTTCCTGCCAACTTGGCGGGGATGGCCTCTTCATGAGAAGCCATGAGGGCATCAGAGTTGGTCATCTCTTCTTCGAGATGCTCCTGTCCAAGGGTAGTCTTAGGCTCTCACAAGCCAAAGCCAAGGAGTCCCGCAGCTCTTCGATTCGGCAGTTCATGGCTGCCAGCTGCTTCTCGAGGACCTGCTGGTAGGCCTGGCAGTAACAAGGCATGCATCGCTGGAGCACCGCACTTCCAGGACTGCGGCTGGAGTGGGCTGCGGCGACTTGTCCTGCAGACTGAAACGACTGAATCGGGTTTCATCAGAGTTGGAGCCAACTGCGGTGGCATTGTCCTTGGCGCGGATTGCCGCCAGTTCTGCCTCGCAACACCACGGGCAAGCCAAAAATCAAAGCTGGTAGGTCAGGTTCTGGACTGGTTCTGGTTTGAGAAGGCCGAGCACCTGGATTATCGAATTGGTCACGTTTTCGCCATTGTTGCTTCTGCAGGTAGGACATTCTTCGAGTTTTGGCCTCACCTACACAAATCTATCATAGGCAACGCCAGGGAGGGGATCTTTTTTTGCCTGTTGCTTGGCAATGCTCAGGCCAAATCAACACTGAGTCTCAGGAAAAACCAACATGTAGTGCAGGGATTCCTGCAGCGATGAACTGGAAGAACATGGGGGTGGGTGGGCGACTCTCTCAGGCTCAAAATTTTCAAAACAAGTTCTCTGTTGAACCTTACCACAACGAAATTTGAGCTCTTTGAATTCCAACCAGAATTAATTATGGACAGCCCCGATGTTGTCAAGCCATTTCAGTGCCATGAACAACATCGGGTCCGCGGAGTCCATCTCCAACGTTGCGAGAAGTGAACCTTAAAACTGTTAAAAACATAACCAGCAAAAAACTCCAGATAATTAACTAAGTCGATACGCTAGAGACGAGCGCAGGCATAGCCGACTTGAAAAAAAAAGACGTCAAGCGGATCCAAGTAGCATCGCCATGTCTAGCACCCTGGGCTAAACCATGCAAGCCCTTCACCTGGAAAGCGCCGCGAACCGCATGGCTCAGAGCACCCACAGCAGCACTTCACCCTGGCCCGCTGCGTGACCCCCCACCAGGTCCCAGCAGCCGAAGCAACCTGGACAGCACCTGGCCTGGCCAGCACTCACAAACTCCTTGCCGGCACCCTGACAGCACCCTAGACAGCACCCAGCACCCCCTGGACAGCAGTTTGCACGGGCTGAAACTACGCACCACTGCCCTTTGTCACAAGAGCACCTTGGACAGCACCCTGCCGGACCTCTTGTTTGAGGGTGATAATCGGAAGCCCCCCATGACTGCGTATCAGGGAAGTCGGCGGAGACACAGTGCGGCCTGCGCTGCAGACGCTGCTGCTCGCAGTGCGTCCATTTCCTGCAGTTCAAGTGCTCCCTGCATCGTTTCTCAATTCTACAGGGACGAGCGAAGCTTGTGAATGAAGCCAAGCAGAAATGCACTACATTCTCCGTAGCTTGCGCAGCCTAAGCCCCTCGCGGCACCGGCCTCGCTGCCTGGAATAGCGCCTCGAACATTAGGGACTTGCAGTAGAGGTATACTGTGTACTGTCTCTCCATGCAACACCTGTCGCCATGCATGGAAAGAAAATGGCAAGAGGCACTTGAGCTGTCGTTCCGTTCCACTGGGAACCTGATTCCTCAAGACATTGTACACATGATCTGTTTGGGCCGAGCCGCCCGTGCAGGAGTCACGCGTGAGAGAGGGGCGGGTACGGGCGGGTGGCACTGCAGTTACCACGAGAACCGTCTTCCTGCATGACTTAAAATGATACAGGAAACCTTTCAGCTGGCCTCCAGCAGCGCGGGCATGCGGTGCTTCCATTACGCTGGCCACAACCTCAAAACGACGTCACGACGAACTGCAGGCGCACGTGCCACAAATTGTCGCTGTTCTCCGAAATCCGTGACATGCCTGAGGATG